GTGTGTGTGTGTGTGTGTGTGTGGCCAGCTCAGCCCACCAGGGGGCGGGGCTGGCTGGCGTGTGGTGCTGGGGGATTGAACCACGGTCCCTGTGCATTGCCAAGCTTGTTTCAAGTAGGTGCTTTAGACCACTGAGCCATCTCTCCAGCCCCTTTTTTGATTTTTAAACATCTTGGATTTTTTTTTATACTGACACCAGAGTAAAAGAAAATGACTGAAACTTAAGCCTGATAGTGTCCTTATAATTTAATCCATATTTTATACATTTATCTTACATGTCAGTGAAAAATCACCAACTACCGTGAAATCAGGGTAATTTACATCACAAAAGAACCAAAATATAGAAAAACACTTCATAAAAATATATGCAACTATGAAAAGAATTGCTTCCTCGATGTCTTCACATCCTTCTCTTTTGTGTACTCACATATAACCATTGTTTCCTCACATAAATCTATCCCTGCACTTACTCTGTCGCCGTCCTCTTCGTACCCTCCTGTCTGCTCCTGGGCTATGTTCATATAGCTATCCAGGTAAGCCAGGGCTCCTCAGTAGCCCACTCCAAAATTTAATTTTACCACTGCTGGCCATCTGATCATTTGCCCTAAGAAACCACTTAGGCTTTGTTTCCTCACACTCCTTGCTGTAGTGTCCCAGCATCGCCCCCCACCCAAGTAATTTATTTTTTGGGAAAGTTTTCATGTAATATACATATAGTAAATCAATACTCAGTTTAATACACAAAGCATTTTCTGCTTTGAAGAGGCATCTTTCTACCAGGTGTGGTGGTATACCCTGTATGCAATCCCAGCACTTGAGAGGCTGAGGCAAGAGGACTGCTGTGAGTTTGAGACCAGCCTGGGCTACAAAGTGAGCTCAAGACCAGTCTGAGCTGCATAATGAGACCTTGTCTCAAATAAAAATAAGTAAATAAATAAAATTGAAAAAGCCTCTTTTGCTAGGTAAGGTGGCACATGCCTGTAATTCCAGTGCTCAGGGGACTGAGGCAAATGAGTTTGAGACCAGCCTGGGCTGTACAGTGAGCAGAGTGAGTTCAAGGGTGCCTGAATTAGAGTGATACTCTTGCTTTAAAACAAACAGACAAACAAACAAAAAATAGATCCTTCCATTCATGAGCGTGATGATTGGGTGTTCATGCCTTATGTATGAGATGTGCCTCCCTCAAACCTTGTTACAATGTGGGCACATTACCTGTCTGATATGAAAAAAAGAAAAAGAAAAAGGAAAAGAAAAAGCGTCTTTATGTCCTTCATGCATTGCTCTTAGAAGACTACTCTTTCACTTCTATCCCCATATGCTCATTTTGCCCCTTTGTGAACTGTGTATGATTGAAAATGTATTTTTGGAATCAGCTTTACATATTTTACTTAGCACATTGTCTGTTTGGAATTGGTACACCACTGGCACAGAGGTTTTGCTGTGTGAGCTCTGTCTGGCATCTGGTTGCAAGCTGGCTCTAGAAATCTAGTTCTGTGTCAAGTGTCTTAAGTTTCTTGGGTCCTTTGAGTCTCTGAGCTCAATCTGAAGTCCGTGTGGAATCCCGCCTCTGGACTGCTCTAGTGCTGTGTGTCTGGTGTCTCCAGTTCTTAGATCTTTAAATGCTGAGCTCAGTCTGATGTCTGGTTGGAATCTGGGCTCTGGAATGCTCTAGTTCAATGGATGAGCATCTGAGGTTGTTGAAACCTTTGATTCTCTAATTATAAAATTCTGTGACATCCAAAATTAAGACGAGAGAGAAGAGAACCTGAAAGTTCCTGTATCAGGCATCCCGAGTGCTAGTACCCTCAAACCCTTTTTGAGAATGAGGAGCAGAAAATTGGTTTCTTGATTGTCTTGAATATTAGAATACAAAGGGGCTCTTAAAAATTCATCTAAATTTAATGGATTTGTTTTTCTTCAGCCAAATTACTTCTTTAGTCTCAATTTGATTTTGTTCATCTGTTATTTCCCTTTGAGGCCCTCAGAGAGATGGACATGGAGGCAAAGGAAGGAAGAGGGTCTTGGTGCTGGAAGGGGGTCCTTGTAAGTGGTTTCTCTTTCTCACTTGCAGCTGTCATTGCTGATCTGTGAGACCTGGTCAGTGCTTTCCTTTCTTGGGGCCTCAGTCTACCTTGAGGTATACAGAGTCGAACAAGGTGGTCCCAAAGGGCATTCTGTGGTTCTTCTCTGTTAGTCTCTTTGCTTTCTGTTTCTCTCAGCGTGGGTTTTTTTCTGGGTGTAGCAGACTATCTGTGATTCAGTTTCTGCCTCAGAGCTCCTCACTGCCTTGTCCCTGGTGGGTCAGTCTGAATCCCAGCCTCCCTATTTCTGAGTAGAGTGTCTCTCTTTGGCCTTTGTGATCCCCTGACAATAGGAGGTAAAAATAGCCCAGGGGCTGTGCTGGTAGAGATAAAAGGGAATTTGCTTTTTGTGTCCTGTGGCCAGGCTGGGGGGGCTGTGACACGTGGAGATTGCTGACATAGCTCTCCTCCACTGACCTTGACTGCCACAATAAAAAGGGGTAGCATAACTCCCTGCTCTCACCGTGGTGCCGAGGTGGGTGATCAAGACTGGTTGGAGTCCAAGGGTGGGTGGGGAGGCGGGTGAGAGTGTCCCTGGGTGAGCATGGGTCTTCCATCTCAGTAGGAGAGGAGAGAACGCTCTGGTGTTTGAGGGTGTGCATGTGTGTTGGGGTTTACCCAGAAAGTCAGGCTCTGTGGATTGGAGGATCATACCCAGTAGGTTCCCTGGTCCCTCATTTTGCTTGTCCCTGCCATCTTCCAGTGCTTCCTGCCTAGGACCACCTAGAGTCACCCAGATTTCCAAGCCCTTCTCCTCTGCCTCTTGCCACCATGATGGATGTAAGTGAACTCGGAGAGTCTGCCTGCTACCTCCGCCAGGGTTACCAGGAGCTGATGAAGGTGCACACTGTCCCATGGGATGGTAAGTAAAAGCAGGAGGGAACGGTACAGTCCTTGTGGACTCAAACCAGGATCAGTGTAGGGACAAAGTGGCATTCCTCTTGGGGCTTGAGGGGCCTGATAACTTTAGCTCTGGATCTTTGCTTTAGATTCTGGGGTATGGAGGCTAAAACCCCAGGGACAGTGTGTACTCACTGTGCATCTGTGAGAAAGCCTTGGTTTGTCCTTCTGCAAAATGGGATAATACTGTCTGCCTCCTGGAGCTGCAGTCTGTGAGAACTCAGGCTGGAAGCTGAGGCTGAGACGAGACCAGTAGACCTATGTGCAGATTGCCTTCACATCTCCATAGAACCTGTGCTGGGCTTATTTTTAGCACTTTCCACAGAGCCAAAGCCACTGTTTATTAGGAACAGGAATAAAGACTACTATTTATGACTTGGTTTGCTCATGGGACAATAATAACAATAGGCAATGTGGATAGAGTGCTTTTTGTATGCCAGGCCTGGAGTAAATTACCTAATGTGCTACTTCTCAACATCCTGGGAAGGTGGGAACCAGGGTCACAGCCAGCCTCAGAGGTGTCCAACCTCCAGAGCTGCATGGGACACCATACTTTGAAAGGCCTTGTGCTTGATTTACCACTTTAATATTATCATCTTTTAATTTTTATTTCTTGTTTTGAGAAAAGATCTTAAGTCACTAAGTTGCCTCAACTAGATTCAAATTTGGGATCCTCCCACCTCAGCTTCTCAGAGTGCTGGAATTATGAGCAAGCATCATCACGCTAACCTGCCACCTTGAATTTTAAAATAAATTTTAAACAAGGGAGCTTGTAGTATTTTGCCCAGAGGTCTGAAAGTTATGCAAGGCACTTGGCTAGCAAGTAGAAGGGATGAAGTGATCAAGTTTGTAGTCTGTAGTCATACTCAAGTCTGTCTGTCTATCTATCTATCTATCTATCTATCTATCTATCTATCTATCTATCTAGTTGTTTTGTTTTGCGTTGAACTCAGGACCTTGTGCTTGCCAGGCATGAATCTAGTTATGAGACGAGGATATGTAGCCAGGCTGGTCTTGAACTTAAAATCCTTCTGCCTCAGCCTCCCTAGTAGTTGGGATTAGAGGTGTACACTACAAGAGTCCAATTTTAACTGCCACACAATTTGGACTGTCCAAGCCAGATGTGGTGGTGTGCACACCTATAATCCCAGAACTGAGGAGCCTGAGGCGGGAGGATCAATGCTAGTTTAAGGCCAGCCTGGAGTATGCAATGATTTCAAGGATAGCCTGAACTACGGAGTGAGGTCCTGACACAAAACTAAAATGACAAGGCTAGAGAGATAGCTCAGTAGCATAAATGCCTGCCCAGCAGGCTCAAGCTCTTGAGTTTGAGTCCCTGATACCAAAACTAAATAAATAAATAAATAAACAAACAGAATTTGGACTCTCCAGATTTTGGATCTGAGGCCAGCTAGTCAGGCAGGAAAGAGCCTTGGACACAGTTAAGATATCTGAATCTGCAGTGAACTGGGGAAGGCAAACACCCTCTGAGAGTTACATGCCTGATGCAGTATTGAGGAACTGCTTCACGTGGGGCTTCTGTATAGAAGAAACAGGTGCAGAGAGAATGACGGATTTTTCCCATGTTGCAAGACATGTATGACTAAAATGGGGATCTGAACTGAAGTGCACAAAACAGACATTTTTCCAATCAAGAGATATTTTTAATCTCTAGGGAACCTCCTAGCTCTGCCCTGGGATTGAATGGGTCTTCACAAGGACTCCTGTGTCCTGCCAGAAGGATGTCTTGAGACACAGGGGCACAGCTCTATGGACACAGTTTGGGAAGCCCAGCTGAACCCCTGGGGGTGCCTCTGCCTGTCTCATAGTCCTGATGGTTTTTCTGCAACTTAGGGAAGAAACGAGTGTGGGTCCCGGATGAACAAGATGCCTACGTGGAGGCTGAGGTCAAGTCGGAGGCGACCGGAGGCAAAGTCAATGTGGAAACCAAAGACCAGAAGGTCCTGCTCTCCCTTTCTTGAGATAATCCCCTCTGTGAGGGTACAGCTCCTGCCTGTGAGATTCTAACTCTGGCTGCAGGAGTGTGTGAGCAGGAGTGAAAGGCGAAGTCAACTGGTCACTCTCCATCCCTCATCTGAATGATGTCTCCTTGGCAGGTGCTGACTGTGCGAGAAACTGAGCTGCAGCCCATGAACCCACCCCGCTTTGACCTGCTGGAGGACATGGCTATGATGACACACCTCAACGAGGCCTCAGTGCTGCACAACCTGCGCCAGCGTTATGCTCGCTGGATGATCTACGTGAGCCATGGCCAGGGCAGGGCGCTGTGGGGGCAGGGTTATGGGGGCCCAGCTCAGAAGAGGCAGAGGAGTGCCCCAGCTGAAATGAAGGCCGTTTGGGTGATGTCGCTGGGCCCTTCCGGGGGGGCCACCGGTTGGAAGGGAGCTAGGGGCAAGAGAAAGGGCTGGGCAGGGCCAGGACAACTGTGGGGGATAGCATGGTGTGTCAAGTGGCTCCTTGAGGATTATTGTAGGAGTTGTAGAGTCGTGAGGATGGGGGCCTGGGAATGGGAGCCTAGATTCCCCAAACAAAACTCTACCTCTACCTTCTCTCCTCAGACATACTCAGGCCTCTTCTGTGTCACCATCAACCCCTACAAATGGCTCCCGGTCTACACAGCTTCTGTGGTGGCTGCTTACAAGGGAAAGCGCCGCTCAGAAGCCCCGCCTCATATATATTCAGTGGCAGATAATGCCTACAACGATATGCTGCGCAGTAAGGCCGCCTCCACCCGCTTCCCCCACCCAAGACCCCTGCCCTGGCTTCAGGAAGGCTTCTGTAAAGAACCCTCTTCCCTCCACTTGTACTGCCCTCCTTTGAGGCTAATGGCCACTAGCATAGCATCTGCCCCTCCAATCTAGGTGGCCCTCCAGTTCTCTCCATTTTCAGCTTAAGAGAGAACTGGCTTCCCCAGCGCATGCTGCTTCCTCACCTTGCTGACTTTCCTGTCTCCTCTCCTTTCCTGCAGATCGAGAGAACCAGTCCATGCTGATCACGTGAGTATGGGGCCCTGCGGGCTGGGTGGGAACTTTGGGCCCCTTGGCAGAAGAGGCAGAAGCAAAGTCATTTTGCAGCATAGAATCTCAGGTGCTCAGAGTGAGGCTCTGTGATATGTGCCAGTAATTCCTGCTCCTCACGAGGTTGAGATAGGAGCATCACAAGTTCCAGGCTAGCCTGGACAACTTAGTGAGGCTGTCCCAAAAAATAAATGAATAAATAAATAAATATAAAAATAACTGGGGATGTAGCTCAGTAATAAGTGCTCCTGGGTTCAAGCAGTAGTACTGAAAAACAAACCCCAAATGCTCAGAGCAGTGGTTTACCACCTGGGTACAGTGTCCCAGCTGAAGAAAACTCAGGTCTGAGTATTTGCTTTGCCCCTGTTTATGAGTAGGGGTTGGAAGGGGGGTGCCCAAGCACAGGAGTGAGCACCAGCTCCAGTGCCACCTTCCCCGGGGCCCAGACTCTTCCACCTTGCTCTTTTGTGGGATCTTAATTCGGGCAAAAGGGAAAGGTGAAGTTCCTTCCCCTCCCACCATCCTTCTTAGCATCTCCTTCTCACTGGCTCCTTATCTCTCTATCTTAGTTCTGATCCTTTCTTTTCCTTCATGGGAAATACAAAATTTCCTTTTTTTTTTTTTTTTTTAGGTTTTTTGTTTTTGATTTTTGGGACAGGGTCTCCCTATGCTGTTCGGGCTGAGAGTAGACTCACTGTGTAGCCCAGGCTGGCCTTGGACACCCAGTAATCCCCTTCCCTCAGCCTCCCAAGAGCTGGAATTACAGATGTGCACCACCCTGTATGGCTGAAATTTCTTACATATCAGGTTTATGTCCAGCCAAGCTAACATGAACCTTGTTTATATGTACACACATACACCCACACCCACACACACACACACACACACGTACACTCATGCACACACATAGCAAGGGCTTTGTAATCACATAGATTCAAATTCTCATGCTTCCATTTCCTACTGTATGTCCCTGGGCTTAACTTCACCAATACAACTAGAACAATCCTACCTGTAGCATAGAAAAATGAGTCAGTGAGTTGATACATGCGCCCGGACCAACAGAAAAAGGCCACAACTTCCAAGACCTATTTCCTCATCCAGAAAATAATAATGGTCCCTGCCAGCTGGACAGACAGTTCAGTGGTCCAAGTGCCTGCCTGGTAAGCACAAGGACCCGGGGTTCAATCCCTGGTACCACATACCGTGTCGCCATGCTGGCCACTGAAATCAGGTGTGGTGGTGCACGCCTATAATCTCAGTGCTGGGCAGGCTGAGACAGGAGGATTACTATGAGTCTAAACTGTATAGCAAGGCTCTGTACCAAAGAAATAAATAAAGATTCAAAACTAAAAACTAATGGTCCCTGCCTTACAAAGTTTTCTGAGCCTTAACAGAGCAGATGGAGGTCAAGGACCTGTCCCAGCGCCAGGAGCTAAGCTGCACGCAGGGAATCGTAGTCACCACACATGCGATCGCCTGGGGGGATGCCCTCCACTGGCTTGCTTTGAGAACAACATCTGGATGATTGACCTATCACTGGGGGCTTGGAGCTGGGGGTGGTAGTTTGGGAGCTGAGTCGGGGGAGTGAGAGAATGGGTATCCTTTTTGAGGGGTGAGGTGTTGCGGGCTGGGGCATTAGACCAGATGGGCCTTGGTGACTCATGTTTGTGTTGTCCAAGCGGAGAGTCGGGGGCCGGTAAGACGGTTAACACCAAGCGGGTCATTCAGTACTTTGCCATCGTCGCTGCCCTGGGAGACGGGCCGGGCAAGAAGGCCGTAAGACTCGCCCACTGGGCACTGATCCCCACTGCTTCTTGTTTTTTGTTTTTTTTTTCCTCTTCTTTTCCTTTTTAAATTATTATTTCTTCTTTTCAAAATTTTGATTCTTCACAGTCCCTGCCCTGCCTGAGCCTCTCACTCTGGTGGGAGACTCTGGCCTGAGCAAGGCTTGACCAGAAAAACCGTGGCCACCTCTGATGTGCTGTGTGTGTACTGGGCCTGCTGCAAGTAGTGCACACATGTGGGGCCACATTGCTAGTCTGTGTAAATTTTCTCTTGAACTGTGACCTTCATAGTTTGAAAGAGTTCACCAGAAAGACTGTTTTTGCTATGAAGGGATTATTTTCTTGGTTTTCATGCACCCAAAACACAGTGACCTGGCAATCAGAAAGAGTCGGTTTATGCACAGAGCCGAGGGTAGGAGATATTCAACAATTTTGTGACCCGTGATTTCTGTAAGACATTGAAAATTTTCAGCCAGGTGTAGTGGTACATGCCTGTAATCTCAGCACTTTGGAAGCTGAGGCAGGAGGATTGCCAAGAGTCTGGACTGTATAGAGCCTGCACTAGAAACCTGTCTAAAAAAAACCCAAAAAATAAAGATTGAAGATTGTTGGAAATCTCCAAAACAACCAGAACCCACATATTTGTTTTCCTTTTCCTTTTTAAAGTAAAGTGTTGCATTCCTAGTACAAGGGCCAGCTGTGTGGCTGCTCCCGGACCACCATGCATCCCCCCAGTGGGCCGCCATTTCTTTCCAGAAGCCGAAGGTCTTCTGTTCACAGCTCTCATTTTTGGTCTGGTCGTGTTGAGCCTTGCTTTATTCTGGGGCATTTTTCTTTCTTTCTTTCTTTTTTTCCTCACTCTTTTTTTCTCTTTCTTTTTCCCTCTTATTTGATTTTCTTGGGTTTTGATTTTTCTTTTTGTGGTTGTGGCTGTTGTTTTGTTTTGCTGGTGACTTTTTTGGGATTCTTTCTTCCCTCCCTTCCCTACCCTGTTTCTATGCACTCAAAAAGCCTTTGACAATGTTCAGAAAATTCGGTTGGTCCAGTCACAAGACAGAATGGCAGCGAGAAGCAAGAGCTGGCAAGGACCCGGCCAGACGGGCTGAGGCAGGGGAGCACCTGTGCAGAAAGGGGCCCTCGTCACCAAGCTTAGGGGAGATGGTCAGGCTTTGGAGGCGGCAGGCAGGCTGCCCACAACACGTGGGAGCTTAAACGCTCTACCCATCCCCTTCTCTCCCACCCAAATTTGGCCAAACAGGCCAGAGACGGCCTTGCACAGAAACTCTGGATGCGAGTGTGAGGAGGGTGCCTGTGACTTCTCTCCTGCCTCCCTCTCCTTAGCAACGTCTATGGGCACTTTCAAGTTTTGGGTTCCCTGGGGGCGAACAAATGAATGAATGAGCACAAGCCCCTGGGAGCACATCTATCTCCAGAATCCATTCAAGTCTTCCTCTCCCTCTCTGCTCAGGCTCCTGGCATCCAGGGTGGGGAACAAAAGTGGGGGGTGGGGGGGAATAGAAAAATGAGCAGGATGGGACTAGGAGGAAAGAAGTGTCAGCTCAGTTCCTTGAATCCTTCTGGGTGTGATGTGGGAGAGGCAGCTGGAGGGATGGAGCACAGGCATGAGGGAGGCAGATGCCTGTGAGTAGCTTGCAGCCCAACTTGCTGTGTGTTCCTGACAGGTCAGCTCCCTGCCCTAAGTCTTAATTTTCTTACTTGCAAATTGGGGCTAATAATATGTATCTGGCAAGGTCATTTTGAATGACAATAGGTATAAAATGATTAGTGAAGACAGATCTGATCACAGTACCAAAGAAGTATACAAAAGAGCCATCAGGGAGGTTAGGGTAGGAAGGTTCAAGAACAGAAAGAGGTCTTTTTCTAGCCTCAGTGTCAGGAATACTTTCTAGAGGAGTGTGTGCTTTGACTGAGCTTTAGAGGAGTAGATTTTAGTCAAAAGCCCCGAGGGCTGGGGCAGGTGGCCATGCATGGGTGTGGGTGTCCCTGTCTCAGCTAGAGAAAGATGGACAGATTGGGGGGGGTGTCCTAGTGTAGCCCTGTGCCTCAAGCCCCTGGCTAGGGTCATGCTTGCTTCCTTATTCTTGTAACTCTTAACACTCCTAGGAGGACCAGTTTGTGGGGAGGAGGGGTGGTGAGATGTGTGCTACATTTACTGTTAGTAATGATTTTGGTGACTAACATTCACTGTCCCTCTTAACTGCTGTCCCTACCCCCTCATCTGGTGTGACCTGATACCCTCTAATTTTATCTTCTTTTCTCCCCCAGCAATTTCTGGCAACAAAGACTGGGGTAAGTATGGGGCCAGTGGGAACAGGGCAAGCAACAGCTTTGAGGTCCTGAAATCACCCCTTCCTCTTCCATTAGAGGGTCTGTGGGCTTCACTGGTTACCAGTCCATAAGTACCAGAGCTGACAGACCCCTCACCCCTTGCCAACTCTAGGGCACCCTTGAAGATCAAATCATCGAGGCCAACCCTGCCATGGAAGCTTTCGGCAATGCCAAGACCTTGAGGAATGACAACTCTTCCCGCTTTGTGAGTGGTCACAGTGGCAGAGGGTGGCTGGGAGTAGAGCAGATCATTAGATCTGGTGGGAGCCTCTAACAAGTGGGGCAGCACTGGCTGAGCCCCCTGGGCTGAGGGCAGTCCCTGTATTTGCAGGGCAAGTTCATCCGCATTCACTTTGGTCCCTCTGGGAAGCTGGCCTCTGCGGATATTGACAGCTGTGAGTCTGGGAGAGTGAAGGCAGGGTGGGGAAGGAGGCCCAGAGGCTAAACTGAGCGTTCACACACACTTAGTGCTGTCTGCTCTTAGCATCTCTTTCCATCCCTCTGCCAGCATCCACTTCTGGCCACCTCATCACTCACCAGAATGTCACCCTGGATCTTCTGGCCAGTTGCTCTGATTCTAATCTGACCCTAACCTGACCATATCCTGTCCCAGCTTTAAAAACTTTCTCTAGTTCCTGTCACTTGAAGATGAAGACCCAGATCCTTATTTGGCTATCAGCTCCTTGTGGTTAGGCCCAGTCTCTTTGCAGTCTTTTCTGTGACTGTGAAAGGGGGTCTGACCTCTGCTCCCTGCCTTGACTCAGAGTCTCCACTCTTCCTGGCTGACTGCCTGGAGCCTTCTAGTGCCTCTCTGGGGTGGTTGCTTGTCTGGGGCCATTGCACAGACACGAGCTCCTGGGCCCCACTAAGGTCACATGCACACAGTAGCCCCTGTGCAGACTGTGCCCCATCTTGGGATACCTGACCAGATCCCAAGGGATAAGCACACACATATGGAAACAGCTTGGCATGTTTGCCTGTAATACCAGCACTGAGGGAGGCAGAGGCAAGAGGATTGCAAGTTCCAGTTCTCCCTGAGCAAATCTAGCGAGATCCTGTCTTAAATAAGCAAGTCTGGAGCTGTAACTCAGTGTTAGAGCGCCCCTAGGTGGTTTGATACCTAGTACAATCAGGCAAGCAAACAAACAAAAAATCCCAACCCAACCCAAAACCAAAACCTACATTCATAGACACTCCTATTCACACCCCTATCCACAAGGATGTACACCACTGCCTCTGGCCAGAGACAGAGAGGTACAGCAAACACATTCACACAGTGACACAGATGCGGATAGAGACACCTTCCCAGCACATGCTGGTCCATGTGGACGTGGCACCCCTGCCCTTCACTGTCTCCTTTTCCCCACTCTGTGCCCCCCATTGGGTTGTCCACATGGGGAGGAGCAGGCGATGGCAGGCAGGCTTCCCTTTTCTGCAGATCTCTTGGAGAAGTCGAGAGTGATCTTCCAGCTGCCTGGTGAGCGTGGGTACCATGTCTACTACCAGATCCTCTCCGGGAAGAAACCAGAGCTGCAGGGTAAGGGCTAAGAATGGAGGGAAGGAGTCAGAACCCAGAGGGGCTGCTTGGCCCTTCCAGGCCCCCTTGGGATGGCTATTCCCCATGTCCTGAGGGCTAGGACCTCCTTACTTCACTAGGGACTCAGAGCCCATTCTGTCCCCTTGTTCCCTCCTTGGATTTCTGATTCCTGCTGAGCTCCTTGGGCCAGAAAATGGGCTGCTTAGTGCCACTGTTCTGCAAAGTTATATAGCTGCTCACACAAACCGATGCCCCTCCTGCCATCCACAAAGCAGGGGCCTCTCAGCACCACAGGGTGCCCCTGCACTGAGGCAAGTGAAGTTCAATCTGTATGGTTGTCTGCACCAGTGACCTCCTTTGTAAGCCCCTGGAGGGCAGTCTGGGCAGGCTTCTGTGCCTAGTACTCAGCTCAGGTTCTGAGTCAGGGTAGTGGCTAGGAGCAGTAGCCAAGAGGTGACTGAGATACAAGGGCTGGCTCATCCCTCAGAGAACTGCAAAGAAGCAGCCCCTCAAAAATGTAAAAAAAAAAAAAATAGGGCTTGGGTGTGGCACAGTGGTGGCGCACTTAGCCTAGCATGTAAAAGGGCCTGGGTTTAGTGCCTGACACTACATAGTAAATAAAAATTCAATTTTAAGAAAAAGCCATGGACACAGGTGGGGATTAAAAACCCAGGTTCCAGAGAAATCCTAGAAGAGCCTACACTCCTGCTGGCTGGGCCCCCACTGTGCTGAGATAGGAGAGAGAGAACCTATGTGAACAGCCTCCCCTCCAACCCTGTTGTCTCGTAGACATGCTGCTTCTGTCTATGAACCCCTATGACTACCACTTCTGCAGCCAGGGCGTCATCACCGTGGATAACATGGACGATGGGGAGGAGCTCATCTCCACAGATGTATGGGTCATGCTGGGCGAGGGCTGAGCAGAGCACCTCCAATGTGGGGGCTCATGGATAGGTGTGCCGGGAGGGGGGCCAGGAGCACTGTCAGAGGGGCAGTGTTAGGTGGACCTTAGATACTTCTCTGAACCCCCTGTGTTTCCCACTCCCAGCATGCCATGGACATCCTGGGCTTCAGCGTGGATGAGAAATGTGCTTGCTATAAGATCGTGGGTGCCCTCCTGCACTTTGGCAACATGAAGTTCAAGCAGAAGCAGCGAGAGGAGCAGGCTGAGGCCGATGGCACTGAGAGTGAGGGGCCCTGACCCTGGTCTGTCTGGCCTTCATCTCAGCCCTGATCTCTACCTTTTGTCCTTGACCATTATTAACCCTAACTTTTATCTGTGGCCTTTGGCCTCAGTCTTACTTGTATCTGATTCCTCAACTTTAGACCCTCACTTTTCTAAGGCCGACACTATGACTTGACTCCACACAACTTCCTTCCTTCACCCCAGGCTGATGCACAGAACCCCCTTAGCTCATTGTTGTCCTCCGCTTTCCTTAACCACACTGTCTGCCTGCCAGGTGCTGACAAGGCTGCCTACCTGATGGGAGTCAGCAGTGGGGACCTCCTCAAAGGCCTGCTGCACCCTCGGGTGCGTGTGGGGAATGAGTATGTGACCAAGGGCCAGAGTGTAGAGCAGGTGAGCTGCCTGAAGGCCGACCCTACCTGGGGACAGTGAGGAAGGAGTCTCTCCCTGCCAGTTTCCAGCCCAGCCTCCCTTCTCCTCCAGGTGGTGTTTGCAGTGGGAGCTCTGGCCAAGGCCACCTATGACCGGCTGTTCCGGTGGCTGGTGTCACGGATCAACCAGACCCTGGACACAAAGCTGCCCCGGCAGTTCTTCATCGGAGTCCTGGACATTGCTGGTTTTGAGATCTTTGAGGTGAGAAGTGACCCCAGCCCCAGGCTCTGTTCTCTGAAGACAGAGGATCATGGGAGGGAGGTGGGCCTGGTGAGTTGGTTCTCATCCCTGCTCCTAGGGGCCTCACTGTCCCATCTGCAAGGAGCCTGCTGAGCTGCCACCTCCTTCTCATAGTTCAACAGCTTCGAGCAGCTGTGCATCAACTTCACCAATGAGAAGCTGCAGCAGTTCTTCAATCAGCACATGTTTGTGCTGGAGCAGGAGGAGTACAAGCGTGAGGGCATCGACTGGGTCTTTATCGATTTTGGCCTCGACCTGCAGCCCTGTATTGACCTCATCGAGAAGGTAGGCCTGCTTGACACTTGCGCAAGAAGGAGAGTGTGTGCTCGTCAAGTGCGTGTGTAAATGTGTTGAATAGAGGAAAGAAGATTAAAGAAAAACTGGAAACAATGAAAAAATTGTTTTTATTCCTGCTACTACCTGTGTCTTAACCCTTGAATTAATTTCCTCCAACTCCTTTGGGGTGGGCAACCATTTTCTTTCTGGCTGTAGACTCAGTTCACTTCATACTTTTTCTTAGAAAATGTATGCTGAATATTGCTGAAGGAAACAGAATGGATCCTGTAGCAGACGATTCTCATATGATCCTCAACTGTTGGGCATTTAGGTAGTTGATAGTTTTTTGTTTGGTTGGTTTTGGGCTGACAGGTTTTTGCTGTTATGTCAGTACTATTGCGTCCTATTGTGGTGGAGCAAGCCTGTGATTTCAGTTACTCAGGAAGCTGAGACAGGAGGATCACAAGTTCAAGGCTAGCTTGGGAAGTTCAAGGAATTTTTGTCTCAAAAAATAAAAAGGACTAAGAATGTAGCTCAATGGTAAGAGCACACCTGGTTTCCAATCCCACTTGAAAAAGCTATCAGTGCTGCCGATAAAAATTTTCCCAATAGCAAGTTGGGAAATTGAAGTTTAGTGAGATGTGAACTTCCCATAGCTAGTAAGTATGGGAGCCAAAACGTGGACTTGGTGTCCTTTTTTCTTACCGTGTGTGCGTGTGTGTGTGCGTGCATGCGCGTGCCCCATGAATGTTGGGGGAAAAATGGATACAAATCTGGGTGTGGTGGTGCACACTTGTAATCTTGGCACTTGGGAGGCTGAACAGGAGGACTGCCACAAGTGTGAGGTCAGCCTGTGGCCACATAGTGAATTCAAAGTCAACCTGAGGGACCTATTTATTCAAAAATAAAACAAGAGTGGGTATAGAGATGCCAGTTTGGATTTACACATGTTTTATAAGAAAAGAAGATAATTCTGTGCTGTGACTCAGATGAAAGCCAAGTCAAACTTTTCTTTGAAGGTGAGGCTCCTGGGAGCTGGTCTGGTCTCCAACCCTCAGATAAGATAGTTGGGGCTGGGGATCTGGAATGGCTCCCAGAGGACAGTGGTTTGGGAGACAAAAGGTCTGGCTCAGCCAGGATGGGCTGGCCCTTCAAGCTTGTTCTCTGTCCTCAGCCACTAGGAATCCTGTCCATCTTGGAGGAGGAGTGCATGTTCCCCAAGGCCTCAGATGCAAGCTTCCGGGCCAAGCTCTATGACAACCATTCAGGGAAATCACCCAATTTCCAGCAGCCTCGGCCTGATAAAAAACGCAAATATCAGGCCCACTTCGAGGTGGTCCACTACGCAGGCGTGGTAGGTTTCCTTTGGAGCCCAGCCCCAAGCCATGCTCCTTTTTCCCTCCTCAGGTTCCCCCACTGTGGCTCAGCCCCTGTCTCATCTCTGCCAGGTGCCTTATAGCATCGTGGGCTGGCTGGAGAAAAACAAGGATCCTTTAAATGAGACGGTGGTCCCCATCTTCCAAAAGTCACAGAACAAGCTCCTTGCCAATCTCTATGAGAATTATTCAGGCTCCTGTTCCAGTGAGTACCCAGGGACAAGCTTGTCATCCCCAAAGGGGCCTACAGGGTGGCATTCCCTGCAGTGACAGGCCCCATGTCTCTGCTGCTAGCTGAGCCCCCCAAGTCTGGAGTGAAAGAGAAGCGAAAGAAGGCAGCCTCATTCCAGACAGTGTCCCAGCTGCACAAGGTGAGTCCCAGAGGAGACCCCGTGTGGTCCTGTCCACTCCCAGCCGTGTCCCCTGCACCCTGGGCGGGCGGCCGTTAAGACTTGCAGTGATGTTTAATTCCTCTCCACGTGAACATCACAGCAAGTCTGTGCTGCTTCCCGTCCCCACACTGCTAGGCAGGGCTGGGGGAAGGAGAGGGAGCCGCAGGGTCTCTGAGGGCGGGACCTGTGGGGGTGAAGACTGGAAGTTGGTGATGGAAGAGGGTGGACAAAGGAGCACTGTGAAAGGACACAGGGGAGGAGCGAGTTAGGCCAGTCCTTCCAGGCCCAACCCACTGCGGCTTCCAATTCTGGTTCTTTGCCCCTTCTGTGCTTCTCCCCACTCTCCTCACTCCCAGGAGAACCTCAACAAGCTGATGACCAACCTGCGGGCCACGCAGCCCCACTTCGTCCGCTGTATTGTTCCAAATGAGAACAAGACCCCTGGTAAGGAAGGACAACCCGGTAAAAATTGGGAAATAGTTCTCTGCTTCACCTCCCAGGGCCTGTGCACACTCACAGAAGTCCTGGTTGTGGAAAGCTGCCTTTTATGGGGCCTGAAGTTGTGTTCTTAGATCTCTGACCTTTTCCTTTAACCCCACTGTGTCTAGGGGTCATGGATGCTTTCTTGGTGCTGCACCAGCTACGCTGTAATGGGGTCCTAGAGGGTATCCGGATCTGCCGCCAAGGATTCCCTAACAGGCTGCTGTACGCCGACTTCAGGCAGCGGTATGTGGCTCCTCTTTTATCCTCAACTCAATTTCACCTACAGCCCCCTTTCCCTGCCCTAAGCTCCAGGTGGAAGCCACAGCCCGAGGGGCAAAAAAGGGATAATTTACGGCCTGAGGGAAAAGCAGGTACTAGTCCCTGAGGAGGAGGCGGGGACTCTGAGGTGCTGGGTAGGTGTCCCTGAGGGAGACTGTGGTGGCTCAGACCTGGGAGGCTGGCTGGAAGAGAAACCTGTAGACTTGGGGTAAATGTGGGTGGGAGGTGGGGTCAACAGGCCTTGCAGGTGACTTGGACATAGCATTAGAAAAGAGGAACCATCGTGGAGACACCCAGGTTTTGGGCCTGAGCAACTGGGGAGTTGGCAGTGAATTTACTGGGGCACAAGGCAGGGTGCTTTGATTTGAGGAATCAGTAGTGATGTGAACTCTGCCTTGGGCATATCAGTGCGGAAACGCCTCCAGCAGGCATCCTAGAGGAAAAGTTGGAAGGGTGATTGGCTCATTTTGCTGGAGCTCAGGAGAGCAGGCAGATGTAGATTTGGGAGTTGAATGAGAATTCACATGGACCAGATTTCATATAATGCCTGGCATGTACTGAGTGCTCCATCAACACATTCAGCTTCCTGTCCCCCTCCCTTGAGAGGTATGATTTTATCAGGTTAAAACTATCCATTGTTCCTTCCTTTTCCATGGACAAGGTGGGCATCCATGCTGCCCTTCATAAATGTCTGTATAAATGGGGACACACAGCACGAAAGGTAGCAGGGGGGCATCACCACGTTGGGCATTGTGTGTGCTAGCGTATGTGCAACTTCCCACACCCACACACAGTGCATTAGTCTGTTTTCATTTAATTATCAGTCTTTTTTTTTTTTTTTTTTTGTATTTAGTACAGGGTCTACAGGGTCTCCCTACGCAGATTGCACTCATAGTGATCCTCCTATTTTCAGCCTCCTAAATGCTGGGATTATAGACATGTGCCACCATGCCCAGTCTTCAGTCTTGTTTTCTATCAACAGGCTTACGAATGCATCATCATCCATTTTTTGTGACTGTTAAGCAGCTCAAGATGGACTAGAAATGTCTAGTGAACCATATACTTTAACAAACCCTTCTAAACAGGGCATGATGGTATGCCCCTATAATCCCAGCCAGCACTTGGGAGGCTGAGGTAGAAGGATTGCTGCGAGTTTGAGGCCAGTTTGGGTTACATAGTAGGTTCAGAGCTAGTCTGAACTATGTAACAAGACCCTGTCTCAAAAAACAAAGCAAATCAAAGCATGCCCTCCTAGTGAGGGCACTTTTATGTGTTTGGGTTTTTTCTTCGTCATGTGGCCGCATGGCACCTGGCCCACACGGACCCTTGCTCCTATGCATGTATCTTTTTAAGGGGTAGACATAGTAGGAACCCTTGATGCTTCTGAGTAGAATTCTCTCCCAAATGTCTCATTTGTGATATGGTATAGTACACTACCTTTATGTTTATCTTTAACAGTTACAAAACTAGTACATTTGTGAAAACTGCATCCTTTTTAAAAACTGTATTGAGGGCATTCAAATACACCCCAAGGGCTTTAAGGAGAATGCCCCAAATCCCCAATCTGGCGACATCTCCCCTGCCACCTTGTTCAGTGTATGCCTTGCGTAATCTGCACTCACCTCTAGAAGACCAGGAACGACTCCCCTTCTACTCCAGTGGCCTACTTGGTCCTTGGTTCTCCCTTCTCAGTGTCCTGTGTCCTGTCTGCTGCTCACCAGCCCTTCCCTGCTGTCTCAGGTACCGCATCCTGAACCCCAGTGCCATCCCAGATGACACCTTCATGGACAGCAGGAAGGCCACAGAGAAGCTGCTGGGTTCACTAGACATTGACCACACCCAGTACCAGTTTGGTCACACCAAGGTCTGGGCGTGTGTTAAGGCTGACCCTGGGCGAGCACAGTCACCCAGAGCACAGCTCACATCTGGCCACTCTGTCACTCGATCCCCAGGTGTTTTTCAAGGCTGGGCTTCTGGGCGTCCTAGAGGAGCTCCGTGACCAGCGTCTGGCCAAGGTGTTGACACTGTTGCAGGCACGAAGCCGGGGCCGCCTCATGCGCCTTGAGTACCAGCGCATGCTGGGAGGCAGGTGGGTGTGGGGCAGTAGACAGGGTGGAGGTGTGGCCACTGTCCCTTGGTCCACAGAGCCCCCGTGTCCAGTCAGATTATATCCTGTGGGTGGTTGGGCGAGGCTCTGCTCTGCACCCCTGGCCCCCCAGGCACCATTTCCTTGGCCACAGTCTGGGTTGAACACCTGTAGTCCTCGCCATGCTGGAGGATGGCCTGGGGAAGTAACAGTGGCATCCAGTGGTTTCTAGGCCTGGGCCAGATACTTTAGTTACATTTTCTTGGTTAAAAGGTAAAGCAGTCTTGAGAGGTAGGTGTTGTGATACCCCAACCTAGGTCTGGGAAGTGAGCCTACATTCTGACTCCAGGGCCTGGTTGCTGAACACCACCTTCACCCCCACCCTTTCCTCACTTCTAGAGGCTTCCTGGACATTAGGGTTTCAAAAACTACCTCATACCCCACAGGGAACAGATTTGTGGGGCCTTGGCTGCTCCCTTAACCTCACCCTCAATGTAGGAATTAGGTCTTCCAGAGGGCTCTTGGGAACACTAAATGAGATAGCATGGGCAGGGGCTTGGAGGGATGCCAGGGAAGGGGCTCAGGGACCCTCTGGCCTCATCGTGAGGAGAACATTGGGCTGGCTTTACAGGGTCTCCCTCTCCCTAGGGATGCCCTGTTCACCATCCAGTGGAACATCCGTGCCTTCAATGCTGTTAAGAACTGGTCATGGATGAAGCTCTTTTTCAAGATGAAGCCACTGCTGCGCTCTGCACAAGCTGAGGAGGAGTTGGCAGCTCTGAGGGCAGAGCTTCGAGGACTGCGAGGGGCACTGGCAGCTGCTGAGGCCAAGCGCCAGGAGCTGGAGGAGACCCAAGTCAGTGTCACCCAGGAGAAGAATGACCTGGCGCTGCAGCTGCAGGCAGTGAGTAGGATGGGTAAAGGGCCCCCTGTGCTCATTTGGGTCCCCTCTGAGACCCCAGGCTGCTCTGAGGAGAGGCTACAGCCAGGCTGGCCCTAAAGAGCTCTGGATATCTGAGCCTTCCATGTGCCATTCTTCCTGCCCTGGAGGTGCCATTAGATGAGGTCCATGAGCACGTGTTTGGCCTCATCTGGCCATGTGCCCTGGTGCTCTCAGCCTTGGAGTCCTGCAGACTTGCAAATGAGCCCCAGCTCCCCAGCTGTCCCCTCCTGGCTGCCCCTGAAACAGACCCTTGCTTTCTTTTCTGGGTAGGGATGGTGGGAACCCAGGTTCATAGGGTCATAGCTAGAGGGCATGGCAAAGGGTCTGAAAACTCCCCAGGGCCCAGCAGAGGGTGAGCATCAAACTTCTGCATTGACAAAGCACTTTGTTCTCCAGCACCTGGCTCTGTGTCCCTCAGCTTGGCCCTACTCTCTCTGCCCTCCAGGAGCAGGAAAACCTGGCAGATGCTGAGGAGCGCTGCCATTTGCTGATCAAGTCTAAGGTGCAGCTTGAGGCAAAGGTGAAGGAGCTGAATGAGCGGCTGGAGGATGAAGAGGAAGTGAATGCTGACCTGGCTGCACGCCGGCGCAAGCTGGAGGATGAGTGCACAGAGCTCAAGAAAGACATTGATGACCTGGAGCTGACCCTGGCCAAGGCTGAGAAAGAGAAACAAGCCACTGAGAACAAGGTATGGGCCAGGCCAGCTGCAGGATGGGCTCAAGCCTAGGGACCAAGTTGGGGCCAGGCAGCTACATGTGCCTCCTGGACTCTGCTGGGCCTCTGCCATGCAGCCTCCTGTCGGCCTTGATTCCTCATCTGTCCATGGGGTTAGCAGCACTTGTCTCAACAGCATGGCTGAGGCTGAGCTTGCAGTATGGGCCTCACACACTCCAGGTGCTCAGCCAATCCTAGCAGTTGTCTGTGCTAAACTGTAAGACCCTGGAGAGTAGGCGTGCCATATCCCTAGCTCTATATGCCTCGCTCTGTAGCCCTCAGCTGCCTCCTATCATTGAGCACTCACACTGGCTGTGGCTCATGGTACTGGTAGTATTGACTCCATTATATAGGAGGGCAAAGTGAGGCTGAGGGGCGGTCAGCTGCCTGCTTGGGTCCTCACAGGCGCGCAGGACTAGGCCAGGAGAGGAAAGAACTGCCTCAATTCCTTTCGGCATGAGGGGCTGACATCTGCCTGCCAGCGCCTGTGCCCAGGGCTGAGCCTTCACCCATTATCTCTCCACACAGCTCAAGGAGGGTTTCTCCTTGAGGTGGGTGGGAAGCATGGAGCTTACAGTGAAGCAACCACAGCTGGAAGGGCTGTGGCTGCTCAAACCAGAGTGCAGGGAGGGACCTCCCCTCGGTGACCACGGCCTTGGAACAGGTGAAGAACCTGACAGAGGAGATGGCTACACTGGATGAGTCAGTGGCCCGGTTGACCAAGGAGAAGAAAGCATTGCAAGAGGCACACCAGCAGGCCCTGGGCGACCTGCAGGCCGAGGAGGACCGTGTGAGTGCTCTGGCCAAGGCCAAGCTCCGCCTGGAGCAGCAGGTAGATGATGTAAGTCAGGGCCGCCCTGGGGGGCGGGGGCGGGCAGGGGGGCAGGCAGGTTGGCAGAGCTGAGTCCTACCCGCTCCACAGCTGGAGTGCTCCCTAGAGCAGGAGAAAAAGCTGCGGATAGACACAGAGCGGGCCAAGCGCAAGCTGGAGGGCGACTTGAAACTGACCCAGGAGGCTGTGACAGACACCACCCAAGACAAGCAGCAGTTGGAGGAAATGCTCAAGAAGTAGGTGTGGGGTGGCAGAGCCTCCCGAGCCTGACTGGGTCCTCCCTCCCTTCTGGACACTACCAGTTGTTACTGAGGAGGTTCAGAGTGTGTCTGTGGGGTATGGCATCACTATGGCAGGGGTAATGTTCTGCTGTTCCTGGCTCAGGACTGAAGGCGGCAGGGCCCATAGCAGTAGGTACACAGGGGGTGTTGGTCACTTAGGGCCTCAGGAGTGGGGTTGGGGCAGGTACATGGCAGTTAGGCCTTCATGGTTCAGCCCACCTTGTGCTCCTAGGAAGGATTCAGAGCTGAGTCAGCTAAACCTGCGGGTAGAAGATGAGCAGCTCCTGGGTGCCCAACTGCAGAAGAAGATCAAGGAATTGCAGGTGTGCAGAGGGTTGAGGAGGGCCAGGGAGGGCCAAGGCAGGGCCAGAAGCCCACTGGGCTGACCCCCTGTTCACCCTCACCCAGGCACGGGCTGAGGAGTTAGAAGAGGAGCTAGAGGCCGAACGGGCAGCCCGGGCCCGCGTGGAAAAGCAGCGGGCAGAAGCCGCCCGGGAGCTGGAGGAGCTGAGTGAGCGGCTGGAGGAGGCAGGCGGTGCCTCAGCTGGGCAGCGCGAAGGCTGCCGCAAGCGAGAGGCTGAGCTGGGCCGCCTGCGGCGGGAGCTGGAGGAGGCAGCACTGCGGCACGAGGCCACAGTGGCCACCCTGCGGCGCAAGCAGGCGGACAGTGCGGCTGAGCTGGGGGAGCAGGTGGACAGCCTGCAGCGGGTGCGGCAGAAGCTGGAAAAGGAAAAGAGTGAGCTGCGCATGGAGGTGGACGATCTGGGGGCGAATGTGGAGACCCTGGCCCGCAGCAAGGTGTGTGGTCTTCGTCTTGACCCACCCTCACTCTAAGTCCTGCCTATAGGAGCTGCCTTGTCCTCTGACTTGTCTTGACCCCCTGACTTTGGATCCTAGGCCAGTGCAGAGAAGCTGTGCCGGACCTATGAAGATCAGCTTAGTGAGGCCAAGATCAAAGTAGAAGAGCTGCAGCGGCAGCTGGCAGATGCAAGCACACAGCGTGGGCGGCTGCAGACTGAGAATGGTGAGGCCAGGGTTCAGCTGGGCCACACCAGGAGGGGCCCGCCTAGTACTGCCCACACCCACCCGACCTGCCTGCCTGGCCTTCTGCCTACAGGGGAGCTGGGCCGCCTGCTGGAGGAGAAGGAGTCTCTGATCAGCCAGCTGAGCCGTGGGAAGACCTCTGCTGCCCAGAGCCTGGAGGAACTTCGGAGGCAGCTAGAGGAGGAGAGCAAGGTTCGTGAGCACTGACAACTGTAGGGTGGGCTGTCATGCACCAAGCTGTTGGCCTTGACCAATGCTAAGGTCACTGATGTCCCTGCAGGCCAAGAGTGCATTGGCCCACGCAGTACAGGCTTTGCGGCACGACTGTGACCTCCTTCGGGAGCAGCATGAGGAGGAGGCTGAGGCCCAAGCTGAGCTGCAGAGGCTGCTGTCCAAAGCCAATGCAGAGGTAGCCCAGTGGAGGAGCAAATACGAGGCAGATGCCATCCAGAGGACCGAGGAGCTGGAGGAGGCCAAGTGAGGGTCTGGGGGCCAGGCTATTGCCAGTTTATCTGTGCCTGAGCCCTGCTGAGGGGGAGGAGAGTGGGGGCCCTCTGCTGCGGACCACTTGCCCTATGTATCCTCACCCTGTTGGTCCATGGCCCAGAAAGAAGCTGGCCCTGAGACTGCAGGAGGCAGAAGAGGGTGTAGAAGCTGCAAACGCCAAGTGTTCATCCCTGGAGAAGGCTAAGCTGCGGCTGCAGACGGAGACAGAAGATGTGACCCTGGAGCTAGAGCGGGCGACCTCAGCAGCTGCTGCACTGGACAAGAAACAGCGACACTTGGAGCGGGCTCTGGAGGAACGCAGGCGGCAGGAGGAGGAGACACAGCGGGAGCTGGAGGCAGCACAGAGGGAAGCCCGGGGCCTGGGCACCGAGCTCTTCCGGCTTCAGCACAGCCATGAAGAGGCACTTGAGGCTCTGGAGACACTCAAGCGGGAGAACAAGAACCTGCAGGGTAGGACCCAGGGTTGGGAGGACCTTAAGGATACTCTGGAATGGATGAAGGAAGTAACCTGGGTTGGGGCATGAGCCATGCGGTAGTCCCTCAATGCCCTGTCCCCTCTAGAGGAGATCAGTGACCTCACAGACCAGGTCAGCCTCAGTGGGAAGAGCATCCAGGAACTGGAGAAAGCCAAGAAGGCGCTGGAAGGGGAGAAGAGTGAGCTCCAGGCGGCACTGGAGGAGGCTGAGGTCAGGAACGTCCTGGCAGGCGGTGCTAACCTGCGATTCCATCGGTCACTCTACTCCTCGAATCCCCCAGCCCCACACTGCCGCCTCTGTGTTCCCAGGGGGCCCTGGAACTGGAGGAGACTAAGACTCTTCGGATCCAGCTGGAGCTATCCCAGGTCAAGGCAGAAGTGGACCGGAAGCTGGCAGAAAAGGATGAGGAGTGCACTAACCTGAGGTCTGGCTACTGCCCTGCCCCCTGGCAGAGAAAGCACTGAAAGCAGTGTCTATGCCCCTGGTGGCACGCTGACCTGGACATCATGGCTTTCTCAGGTCCCCATTCCAGATGGGAACCTCCGTGAAGCTAGTCAAGTTGACCCAGAGTTTACTGTGTCCCTTTCTGGGCTTCGCTCTCAGCTGTGAACTTGCTATCAAGAAAAGCAAGTACACGACGGGCTTTAAATCGGCACAGTGATGCTTCCCTGAAATGGGTCTCCATCCCAGCAGGCCCTGGGCATTTGAGGGCTCCTGTGTTGCTTGTGCCACTCCTTCCTCATGCCCAGCCCACCCTGCATTCTGCCTTCCCACAGGCGCAACCACCAGAGGGCCGTGGAGTCTCTGCAGGCTTCCCTGGATGCGGAGACCCGGGCCCGCAATGAGGCGCTGAGGCTCAAGAAGAAGATGGAGGGGGACCTCAATGAGCTGGAGCTGCAGCTGGGCCACGCCACCCGCCAGACCATGGAGGCACAGGCAGCCACACGGCTGCTGCAGGCCCAACTCAAGGAGGAGCAGGCGGGGCGAGATGAGGAGCAGAGGCTGGCTGCGGAGCTCCGGGAGCAGGCACAGGCCCTGGAGCGTCGCACGGCGTTGCTTGCTGCGGAGCTTGAAGAGCTGCGGGCAGTCTTGGAACAGGGCGAGCGCAGCCGGCGGCTGGCAGAACAGGAGCTGCTAGAGGCCACCGAACGACTCAACCTCCTGCATTCGCAGGTAGGGATGGGCCAGTGATGCCCTCAGGGTCAAGGGCAGGGGGCCTGCCAGCCAGCTGAGACTCTCTCTCCTCCAGAACACAGGTCTCCTGAACCAGAAAAAGAAGCTGGAGGCAGACTTGGCCCAGCTGAGTGGGGAAGTGGAGGAGGCTGCCCAGGAGAGGCGGGAAGCAGAGGAGAAGGCTAAAAAGGCCATCACTGATGTGAGGCTCTGAACCAGGGTGGAAAGAAGGGCAGGGTGGGGGCCAGAGGGCACCCTTGGGGCTCCTGCCCTCTGACCAGCCTTCTCCTTCCCTGCACTGCAGGCGGCCATGATGGCTGAAGAGCTAAAGAAGGAACAGGACACCAGTGCACACCTTGAGCGGATGAAAAAGACCCTGGAACAGACAGTGCGGGAGCTGCAGGCCCGCCTGGAGGAGGCTGAGCAGGCTGCCCTCCGGGGCGGCAAGAAGCAGGTGCAGAAGCTGGAGGCCAAGGTACTGCTGCCCTGCAAGCCCTCCCCCAGCAGGGTGTGGCCAGGCAGGCTCAGCCAGCAGGCCTGCCCTCTGCTGCCCCCAGGTGCGGGAGCTGGAGGCCGAGCTGGACGCAGAGCAGAAGAAACACGCAGAAGCCCTCAAGAGCGTGCGCAAACATGAGCGTCGGGTCAAGGAGCTTGCGTACCAGGTGGGTGACAGGGTCTACTTGGGGGGTTGCCCGGGAGCTTGCCCAGTCTGGGCACACCCTGAGTCCCCTCCACCTGCTCAGGCTGAGGAAGACAGGAAGAACTTGGCTCGCATGCAAGATCTGGTAGATAAGCTGCAGAGCAAGGTCAAGAGCTACAAACGCCAGTTTGAGGAGGCGGTGAGCACACTGGGGACTGGTCAGGATGCCAAGAGTGACTCAATCTCAGCTGGCTCCAGGGTCTGCTGGTGGCCTGCAGCCAAGTGAGATGTCAGTGCAGGGTCCCCTGAATGGTAGTGGCTCCCTCAGCCCAGCTCAGTGGTGCCCCTGAAGTCCCTAACATCTCCAGAAGAGACTAGACTGAGCACGCCCCAGCTGCTTTCCCGTAGTACGCCTAGAGGTACCTTTGATGGCTGGGGTGGCACACGGGCGCCTTGAAGGACTTTCTACTTTCTGCTTCCTGCCGTGGCTCCTGGTGAGGGGTGAGGTGGGAAGGGGAGAGGACTAGAGTGGCCACTTCCATTACTGAAGGGGAGCCAAGGCCCTGCACATGTCCCTAGGAGCAGCAGGCCAGCTCCAACTTGGCTAAGTACCGCAAGGCTCAACACGAGCTGGACGATGCAGAGGAGCGGGCCGACATGGCGGAGACGCAGGCCAACAAGCTGCGGGCGCGGACCCGGGATGCCCTGGGCCCGAAGGTGAGGGGCTGAGGGGCACTGCCCTCCATAGAGGGTGTGTGAGGTGGCAGCGTAGCTCACCCTGCCCCCCTTGCCTCTTAGCACAAGGAGTGACAGCCTGAGCTCCACGCTGAGGAAGGACATCTGCTGAGATCCTGTCATCTTTTCACCTCCATCTGTGGCCACTCATCCTTCCAAGCCCTGGAACACCCTGAATAAATGCCACGTCTATGCACATAGCTGTGTCCTCCTTATTCCCTGGAATTAAAAGAAAGGGAATGTAATCCCATGGACAAAATCAAGTCCACATCAATCATTTAAAATAAAGTTCTTTAATAGTCTCCGTTTAATTGGTTTATTTGCTGTTAATAAATTGGCAACACAGGAAGGGCCAAGGATGAACTCCCAGCCAGACTTCTGTGTTCGGGCTCAGGCAGGAGATGCTGCCCCGGGGCGGGACAGGCACAGCCACCTCATACCCCAAGGGATGGGGAGACCAGGTTCCCCAAGATGAACACGGTGGCCAATGAGCAAACAGAACCAGGGGGGCTAAAGGAAGACGAAGGAGGGAGGGGACAACAGACAGGCGGGCCTGGGGGAAGGTGGCATTCTCTGTACCCCCAGGCCTGCCCAAGGCTCAGAACCTCTGCCTAGGCCCAGAGGCTCTGCACACAGAGGGGGCCCCTATCTCCCTTGTCACCCCAGGACAGCCATGAGACCGGGCAAGAACTCAGACAGAGCTATTGTCCTAAGTCTTCTTCCTCTGGGCCGTCCAGCAGGGCCCCTGGGTTCGAGGGATGAGCAAGGCGCCCCTGTCCTGATCTTGAGGCTCCCCCAGACCGAGGGCCACAGGCCTGCAGGATGCTCCCTCCCACCGCTACGCCTGTATGTCAGACCTGGGACAGGTGGGCATTGATGCGGAGGCAGGGAGGGACGGGAATGGGCAGGGCGTGTGGCATGGGCACCCACATGCACCTGCACTGGCCCAGGCCCAGCAGCCTCCCAAGGCCATGCTCCCGGTCACTCCTCGGTGAAGTCCCTGTCTATGTCCATGTAGGGCTCTTCAATGTAGCTCACGAGGGCAGAAGGTGATTGGCGGTCTGGGTTCAATAGGATGGACACTGTCTCCTTCCAGTATGAGAAGCTGATACAGGAGCTCTGAGTAAAGACAGAGGGGCTGGAGGGCGCCTGGAGGACCTAGGCCAAGCTGGAACCCTGGGGCACGGAGAGCAGCCTGCCCAGTGATCCAGGTGAGGACGCTCATTGCACATAGAATGACCCTCCTCTGCGCCTGCATGCCCACTGCCCACCTGCCACCCACTCAGGACTGAGGCACTCACATTCTCCAGGCAGGTGCTGTCCTTATCTTTGTGCAGGTAATGCTGCTGCCAGAAGCGCAGTAGGTTGTGGAAGTTGTTGAGCAGGAAGCCAGGATACTTTTTGCTATGTTCCATCCGTTGCAGCAGGCGCAGGTACAAGGGCAGCCTCTCTTTCCGTCGGGCCAGCATAAGGATCACCAAGCTGGTGTTGAGGCAGCTGACATTCTCCTGCAAGGCCACAGGCAGCTGGGCTGGGTGTATGTTGGCAGACCCGTTGGGATGCCTGAGACCCTGGTGGACCCCAGGCAGGGAGGAGGAGATCCCAGGCCTGGGCCCTACAAGGCCTTGGGACAGGCTGTGGGCCACCTCTGAGCCACTCATGCCTGAGCACCTTCCCACCCACCCGCATCCCCACGCTGATGGCACCAACATCTGTCCTTGTCTAGATGTTCACTCAGCTATGGCTTCTTCCAGAAGCTTCAATCCCTCGGCAAGGCTAGGTGCATGTGGTAGTCACGGTTATCTCAGAACTTCCATTCTGCACTAGAACTGTGAGCCTTGGGAGGGAAAAGTCTTGGTCTATGTTGCTCAATGTATACCCCCCAGTCCCCCACCCCAGGGCTTGGCCTCCAGTTATGGGCTAGGTCTAAAATGCCCCCAAACACTGCTCATATTCTGAGGCAGGGCGTTTGGAAGGTGACTTGCTCATGGGGCACTATACCCATCAGCAGAGTAATCCACTGATGAGGCCACAGCTGAATGTGCTGTACCCCAACAGGTGTACTCTGTCCCGGGTCCTCCATTCTCACTCTCTGCTTCCTGGCTGCTGTGGGTTGGCAGGTTTTCTCTGCTGTGCCCTTTCACCATGCTACTTCTTTGGAGCCAGCCAACCATGGACCAAGTTCCCTCAAACCATGAGCCAAGTTAAACTTCTCATCCTTTAAATAGTGGGTGTTCGGTATTTTGTCCTAGGAAGAGGAAAGTGACTAATACGCATCCCTACACGTTTGTTAGATGACAGAACAGAAAAGTGGGGAGCCAAGTTCAGAGAAGGGAAGGCTGCACAGTTATTCAGTGAAAACAGCCAGGGGCATTCTCAGGTCCAGTTCCATAACCTGGCACATACCAGTAAGAGACAAGGAGTTATAAGAATACAGTGTCCATGGTTTTTTGGGTTTTTTTTTTTTTTTTTTTTGCCTTTTTAGACATGATTTCACTATGCAGTTGAAGGCTGGCCTTCAACTCACAGCAATCCTCCTGCCTCAGCCTCCTGAATGCTAGAATTCTAAGTGTGCCTGTCCCTGGCCCATCTTTGCCTGACTCAGTCTGTGACCTCAGAGACTTGCTATCTTGCTTTGGCCCCCTCTGTAAAGTGTCAAAGCCTTCAACAGAGATGCACTTGGACTGACAGTAGGAGACAACTCTGCTGGACTCCGAGATGAGGGAAATGGTTTCCGGTCTACCTTTCCCAAGTGCCTCCTGACCAGGGCCTCTCACCTGGGTCAGGGTCTGCACGTGGATGATATTGATGAGACGGAAGAGGAAGGACATCTGCGTGGGCACCTGGGATATGTAGGCGAGCAGGCGGCACTCAGACAGGACCTCGGCCACTGGAGAGGGAGGCGGAGATGTAACAGCAGGCTCAGGCCCAGTGACTGGGCCACTATGGCTCTGGGTCTGGCCTCTGTATACCTCAGGGACTCTCATCATCCAAAGGACTACAGAAAAAAACTGCTGCAATCAGAACAACCAACCTCCAGCTGTTTCACCACTCGGCTAAGCTAGGCCTGTGTTCTGAGCCCCCACCAGGTCCTCGGGGGCAGCCCTCCTGTAGCCCCCTAGCTGCCTGGCACTAGACCAGCTCCTCTGCTCTGCACACACAGAATGCGTTCACAGGCACAGACTGATGATACAAGTTAGGAAAAAAGAGTGCAAAGCTGGGTGTGCTGATATATGCCCAGAACCCCAGCACTCTGGAGGCAGAGGCAGGATTACAAGCAAATCTGCCAAGACCAGTCTGGGCAACTCCGTGAGACCCTCTCACAAACAGAAAAATAGAAAAAGATAGGCTAGGAATGTAGCTCTGTAAGAAGCACCTGGATTTAATCTCCAGTGCCACCAAAAACAAAAGATAAACACAAAACAGAGTGCAAGACACCTCAAATCATTTTCTACGACTCCTGGTGTGTCTAGTTTCCCCACAGCCCTCATGGGTGGCTGTGCCCACCGCTGGGGTCAATGCATCCAAGCCCTGAGCAAACAGCTTCCTACCCTGACTGGAGGTGGGGCAGTAGATGACTCTACCAAAGTCCCCGGGGCTGCTGCCTTGAAAGAGACCCTCTGAACTTGAGAATCTGCTGGATGCCACAGACCTCATAGCGAAAAAAGAACACAGGGGTATATAAGTGCTCTGAAGTGTGCGCTAAGATCTAGGCCGGGTCAAGCCCGCCCCTGCCTCAGTATAGCGGCTATGCCAATTCACAGGGACACACAATCCCAGGCAATCTGAGCCCGCTGTCATTTGTTTCTGCATTTTGCTGACAACAGTGGCTTTCCGCTATCAAAATGTTGTACACGCTCATTAAAGCAGAAACAATATGCACAATAAGCAGCTGAGCACATTGGCAAAGACCAGCACCTCGACAGCAGCATGAGCTTACTGCGCTCATTTGCCCTGGCATCCTGGATTTTCCTTACCTTTCATGTCTACCTGGTTTTCAAATCGGTCCAGTGACAGAGTGACACAGCGCACAAGCATGTTGGAGTCCACAAGGGAGCTGTTGATCTGCTTTAGGAAAACCTGGAACTGAAGCAGAGACAGTGCTTGTGGGAGGCAGGGAGACATGGGCTCAGAGTGAGCAGTCATCGGCCGGGACTTCAACAGTGCTCCACACCAGCCTGCTCCTTTGCAGACAGCCAAGTTGAGTGACTTGCTCTCCCCACCTGCTGCTAAGATCTTCTGACACTTTGTCTAGTGGTTCTGCGCTGTGTTCTAATTTTTAAACTAGTTTCAGTCAGATCTGTGTCACCCACTCCTACAACCCAACATGCCAGGCCCAGTTCTCCTTTCTGGGCTTTCTACTGAGACATCCACTACACTGCACCCAGCTATGTTGTATCCCATCCATTTGTACTGTTGATCCCCTATAAGGAGCTGAGATTTCACCCCTGTATTGCCAGGGTCTAGGAGAACCTGGCACAAACCTGATGCTCATGAATGTTCGCTTGAGACTGCCCAATGGATCCCAGCACACTCCAACTGAAAACTCACACTGAAGACAGGCAGACACAGAGCACTTCAAGGGGACTCCAGGACAACGCTGCAACCTCACAGGCCCTAGGTCAGCCTTACCTTTGCATCAGTGTTGATGTATTTATTGAATCTCTTGAATGCATCAACGTTGAACTTCATCAGTTCTCCCAGAAGGTCAAAGTAGCTCTGTAGCACATCCCTCGACTTGCACTCACTGTCCACAATGCAGTACAGGATGTGCTGGGGTAAGGAGGGGACAGGGAAAAGGTGTGAATGTGGCTGCTGCCTGCCTGGCTCCCACGGGGACCTGGCATGGAGCTCAGATAAGACATGGGCTTTGAGCAGGAATTCAGGTTGCTAGAACCTGCTATCTGGCCTACACTCCTCTCTGAGGACACTGGTGGCTCCGTGGACAGTGCCAGGGGACACACCTGACTAGCAGGGGCAGTGAGCTGGGCATACAGCACATCTTTCTCTCATCTGCTGTTCTGTAGTCACCAACCTGGCCAGCGCTCTCCACCTGCCAGGCCCAGTTATAACACTCGCCCCTGCCCAAGCACTCAGGCCACTCAAGTAAATGAAGGGCAGAATTTAAGGGCCAGGACACTCTCGGTTCTGTGTTTATAAATATAACTGTTAAAGTTTACATCTAAATCAATGAATCTTTATCAAGAACATAAGGTCAATTTAAGTTCCTGGTAAAGTTTTCCATGACAATTAAACTGTTTCCAAAATGTTCCATTTTCTTCTTGAAATTACATTGATCTGCACCAATTCTTTTCCACATGAGTTTTATGGCAATTCATAGGACCATTTCTTGTCTGTATCAATTTTTAAAAACCAAAAACTTTGGCCATTTTTTTCCCCACCTTTTGCTTTTGCTGTAGATTATATGGAAAATTAACTTTCCCTCAATACCAACGATCGTCAGGTCCCAAAAGCCTTGCTGGATACTACAGATCAGCGTGGCAAACCTGTGGCACACACTCCATGCCGGGCTACTTGTATCACTGAAAACTCTAGAAGGCTTGCCATTGGTTCTGTGCACTCTCACCCTTCTGCATGACCGCCCCCAAGTTCCTCATCCGCTCCTGAAGCACCCATGGGGAATCCACAGCTGGAAACCCGGGACACACATCAGGGCAATCTGCACTGGCACTTAAAACAAGATCTGCTCTGTCCCTGGGGCTGGGGAGGATGGCCACCCTGCATGCTGGCTCTCCAGGCCCTACCTCCAGGAGGCCTCGCTTCAGCAGGAACATCTGGTCCGCATAGGAAGTGGTCCCTCGGAGGAAACTCTCCACAGCCCGGGCTTGCCAAAACCTGCAACCCAAACATGTGCTCCTGGCCCAGGTGGCTGAGGCTGCCCTCTCCTGGCCCAGGTTGGGTTCTCCGTGCCTTGTTATTTAACATTTACTGAACATCTACTAAACTGGTCCTGAGCCTGAGGGAAACAGCACTGAGCGAGAGAATTTTATCCTTGTGGAGCTGACAGCTCGGTGCAGAGCAATCGTAATTCAGGGTCAGCAAGTCACAGAGAAGGCGGCATCTAGGCTCAAAGAAATGGCTTCAGCAAACTGCACACACAAACATTCTAGGCTCTCTCTTTTTGGAAGAATCAAGCAACTTAGAACTGGGAACCTGGAGTGTGTGTGGGAAGAGAGGCTGGTGTGGACTAGCCGCTGAGCTGGCGTGTGCTGGGCTGGCCCACAGGAGAGGTAGCTGATGATGACCACGTGGCTCAGAGGGCTAAGTTGGATCCACAGGGGGTCTGGACAGGGCACAGTGAGGTGACAGGGCTCCACCACAGAGCAAGCCCATGGACCTTTTCAACCTAACCCTGCTGGAATTCCTCCCACCCATAGCTTTTTTAAAAAAATGTATTTGGTACAGAGTCTCACTAGGACTCACAGTGATCTTCCTGTTTTCAGCCTCCCCAGCACAGGGATTAGTGTGCAACACCACTCCCGGTGGCAGGCTCGGTGTGCCCAGGGGTGGGGCCGGCATGGCACGTGTGGTCCCTGCACTTGCCTAAGCAGGCACTTAGTCCGCTGAGCTATCTCACACAGCTCGGCCCCTACCCACGGCCTTTGAGCACCAGTGAGGAGTCTAGTAGTTGAAGCAGCCTCCCCATCAGCCAACTCCTGCCGGGAAAGGGCTTCACTTCATTCCCACGGCTCCCACGGCAGCTCGTGGCTCCACTCCTTCCCTCACTGCACTGACACTAGTTTCCTTTCATCTCTGCTTCCCACCACCGCATGGAACACCACAGGGGCAGGGCTTATATCCCACTGTGTTGGGATAAGAAAAGCTAATATACAGTCGTGCTAAATAACCTACAGGGCACGTGGGACAGGAAAAAGGAAACAGGGCAACAACAGCTGTGGGAGTAACCAAGAACATTTGGTACTCAAGGACACCCTGTCTTTGTGTCCTTGCTCCCAGAAACCTAGCAGGTTTTCACGTATAGTATAGCCTAAACATTCATCTTGGACACACACGACGGGATCTTGTTATATTCACCTAAAGTAACCCGAAGGCTGAGACTCAAGAGAGATAAATATAAAGACCAAAGGCGGGGTGGCAGCCTTTTTACTCAAGCCCTCACTTTCCTTACATTAAGTGTCTGTGTGTCTTTGCAGCCAGCGCCCATGAGTCTTTCCCAACACCACTGCCCTCCACCTCACCAGCACCAGCAGCACCAGCTCAGTGAATGCTCGGCCACAGGAGCACAGCACCTACCTGCTGAGACACAGAGCCAGGTGGCAGTGAAGTCCCTGTGCCCCAACAGTGACCACACTTCAGGGATGGACACTGCGGGCATTAGAGGGTATTTCTAACTACTTGAGAGATGTGGACACATGGCTCCTGGCCCCTTGGAAGTGGTGGTACCTGCCCCATACTCACCTGAACGATGACTCAGCTGGCTCCTTCTTCATGACCTGCAGCAGACGTGTTAATAAACCCCTCTTCCCATCACACACCAAACTCCTGAAACAGAGACACATAGCACTGGCAGCAGATCTGCGACCATGGATCATTCTGCTGGCTTTGGTGGGAGGAAAAAAAGGGGCATATTTCTGAGCCTAAAAGGGTATCCTCCTGCTCTACCTAGGTCCAGGCGCTCAGAGGCGCCTACAGTCATCACCACTAGCCCAGTGGCCGCCGGCGGCCCAAGCCAGCTCTCCCCTCCACACTGCTGGCACGAGGCCAGAGGCACATCCTGAGCCAGAGTGTGCTCAGGACTGTGGAAGGCCTTTTACACCACAGCTGGGTCTGACACAGGCCATGGCAGAGTCTGGCCCATGGGGCAAAGTCCTATAGGGTGGTGGCCAGCTTTCCCCTCCCTAGGTTCAATTCTAGCTGGTGGTAGACAAGTACCCACCTGTGCCTCAGGTCTACAAAAGCAGAGGCAGTAGGTCAGAAAATTACTTTCACCGTACCATGGGAGTGACAGGAAGGCCAGGCTGGGTTCTAGGCCCTTACCAAAGTCTCTTTAAAGCAGTGCCCTTTACATATCTTTTGTGGGGTGGTAGTGACCTCTGTACTAAGTTGCATCCCCAACACTAAGGTTTTTATTTTGAGACTGGGTCTCACTATCTCGCTATACTGCCTAGCCTGGGCTCCAGAATTTGAACCCCTTCTGCCTCGGCTCCCAGAGTGCTGGGGTTATGGCCACCATGCCGGGCTAACAGCTCTACTTCTATACCTTGCAGGCATCAGGGAAGGCCACATATAGCTTCACTTGAATGAGGTTCTCTCCTGCTTTCACGAAGCGGGTAGGAAGTTATAGCACTGGCTGTTTGGTGAGGTCATCCTGTTCTGGTCCTGTGAACCTGTCACCCCCCACTCTCGTCAGAAGACAAGGCAAACAGCCAGGTAGCAAGACCTAACTCCTACCCGCAGACAGGGCCTGCTTCTGTGTGCTCTGCTTGGCTCAGCTGCCACTGGACAGAACAGGAGCAATCAGCTACGGCACCCTCCGCACGGCACAAGGGAGGGGCAGAGCGCAGATAGCCCGAGCAGGAGCCTGCTTGGAGCCTCTCACTGCCTCCTCACCTGAAGGAAGAGGGGTGATGCACTTCTCCTCTAGAGCTGCTGAAGCTTCAGCAAAAAGAGGGAGCACATAAGCATATGGCACACAGCCATCTAGGAGGTTACAGCTCTGTGGATCAAGGGCAAGTGTGCAGCCCGTGCATGCCCAGGTGGCGGTGTGCAGTGAAGGCACTGTTGCCTGCCACCCTGGCTCACCTGTCACCATTGCCTGCCACCCTGGCTCACCTGTCAGTGTTGCTTGCCACCCTGGCTCACCTGTCACCGTTGCCTGCCACCCTGGCTCACCTGTCAGTGTTGAGGACGGCTTCCACTTCAGGGATGTTGGCCTTGAGGGAGATGGCACTGAGTTCATTCAGCTCCTGATTGTTAAGGAGCAGGTACTTGTTCCTGAAACAAACCAGGTGCCAGGTGGGGGTTAAAGCACAGGAACCAAGGCTGCTGCTTAACACTGCGCAGTGCAGGGAGTCCCCATGCTCTTCCTGTGGGAAGCGAAGCTGGAAATCCTCCAGGCATGCTCCTCCTGGGCCCTGTCACCCCTGCACCATCATTCTGCAGGAAGAAACCCAGGACCTTAGCATCTCTATGCCTCCTTTGCTTCCTACTGCTTTAGAATAATAACATCTAAGGCTGTGAACTATGTCCAATAACTGCAGATCACCTCTGAGCTCTGGCCGAGTCAAGCACCCACCACTTGCCCCACCTGGCTGTCCTGGTTTTCTGGACATCACACCACATCACATGATGCCAGACAAGACCATGCTATACCATGCCACGCCACACCACATCACACCACACTCCCTCCTGCAGGGACTTCTGCTTAGGTTCTGGCCACAACACTCCATTCTCTCCCTCTGCCTTTGCACTTCATTTACTACCAGACCCTTCCAGCGTCAGCTGTCAAGTTACTTCTGCGAGGAGGAATCCCTGGGTACCACTGGCCCATCAGGACCTTTGCCAACTGTCCTGCCACAGAATTGTGCTTGTTCCCTCCCGAACACTGCATCCACCTGTTACCGTCTATCCATCCCCAGGTGGCACTCTGAGTAATGTGTAACTTCCTTCCCATACCATACCTTTTGTGATAGCAGGGGCTATGGCCACCCTTAGTCACCGCTGTACTCAGCTTGGCATACAGAAGGGCTGCTTTGAGAGTCAGATAGAAGCTAAGGGCTCATGCTCTCAAACAAACAAAACCTCACTGAACTCTTAAATTTATTGTGCCTTTAGCCAGAGAAGCCCTCACAGGGGCCAGTGACACAGTCCCCTGGGCCACATTTGCTTTCAGGTACATTCTCTTTGCTCATACGGTATTCACAAAGAATGTAAACGCTTACAAATCAGAACTCGATTTCTCTGTACTGTAAAACCAAACTAGGACCTTTCACATAAATCTTCCTTTCTGCCTTTCTTGGGGGGGGGTGTCAGAAGATATTCAACAGTGGGCCTGGGTCCCCACTGCTGGAGCAGAGCGGCAGCCTGCTGTTCTGAGGGTCAAGGGTCAGGTACTATTCCCTTTCATAACACTGTTTCCCTTACAGCAGAGAACCATGTTCCTCTACATTCTCCATCAAAGATCGAAAAAGAAAAAAAATAAGTGGTCAGAATAGTTCAAGAAAAATGGGAGAGAGCATATTTTGTGTCCAGGTGGCCAGCTCTGCATGCGTGAGGTTCAGAGGGCAGCTGATTCCAAGAAGTAAGGGGACAGCACCTCCCCCTGTAGGGGTGCACACGTACTTACTCGTGGTGGTCACTGAAACTCTGAAGAAGCCTCAGAAACTGGATCTTCAAGGTGATGTCCTAGAATACATGTTAAAGCGAGTCTCAGGATTTCACAATAAGACAAGGTCGAGGCTCTTCTGAGAGCCTGGCATGTCACTCTCCTTTTCTGAACTTCTGTCCACACGTACCACAAGGGCTTTTCTTTAGTTAGAAAATCCATCTGATCATACCTCAACATTTGGCCAATGGCAAATGAAATGAATGTAGCCTTTCCTGCTACAAACACCCTAGCATATTGGATTTGATTTTTAAAAAAAATTCACATGAATTCTTTTAAATGTGAGGCCATGTTCCTAAACTGGAAAGGAATCTGGAGGCACCAGAAATGAAGGTCTGAGTCTGGAGCACAGTGCTCAAGGGCTGATGCTTGGGTATCTGAGGGCAGAGTGTGGAGGAGGAAGGGGCCCTAGGCACAGCCGGGCTGGAGTCAGTCTGTGCAAGGCCTGACTGCACCACGCTCCAGAGAGCTGTCAGAGAAGCCTGCTTAAGCCCAGTGCACAGCAAGCAGCTGAGGGAACCTGGCAAGAGAAGGGACACGTACACTCACAAAGGCAGAGGGCAGGCCAAGATACAAAATGTGAGTGCTCATCACGGGACAGGAGCAGCCCCGGAAGTGCCTGCTAGATGACAGCAAGGGTGCGCCGCAGAAATACTTCCAGGGATGAAGCCACCCTGTTTCCCTGGGAAAGCGAGCCCTACTGAAGGTGGCCACTCCACAAATGTTACAAAACAAGAGGCAACACCTCATTCTGTAGGACTGATAGTCCAAGAAAGACCCTGAGACTACAAATTCAAATGATTCAAGAAGTAACAAGCAACTGAAGAGAAAGACACGAGAGTCACATGATAAACAGAGACCACACACTTGGAAGAGTCAGAATGCCTAAAAATGTAAAATATGGAATTTCACTTGAAATTAAAAACCAAGCCTTGAGGGGTGGTGGCGCATACTCTGGGAGGCTGAAACAAGAGGAAGGCAAGTTTGAGCCCAGCCTGGGCAGCTTACCAAGACTGTCTCAAAATTAAAAAATAAGGGCTAGAGGTATCAGTGTGAAGGCTCAGTGGTCAGTCCCCTCTAAAGGCCAAGTGACTGGCAAGGCACTAAAGTCCGTGGAACTCAGAGTCAGGGGATATCATGCTCCTGAGCCCAACAACACGACACCCAGGGTCCCAGAGTCCTTTGGGTCACATGTTGCTGGGTGGGCTGCCAGCTAGAGGGTAGCAGGCATGGAACTAGGATCCTCCTTTTGCAAGAAAACAGAGGCACAGACCCCATGACTCCTTTAAGCTCTCATAGTAAGCTGAGTGGCACGAAGGCCTTCCAACTCCCAGCTCAGTGCTCTAAGCGACTGTAAGAAACACAGATAGAGGTGAGTTCCTGGCCTCTGAAGTCCAAGCACCCTGCTGCCCAGGCACCTGGTGAGGCCTAGGGGCAAAGGCAATTAGAGGATGGAGCATCAAATGAGAAGCCCCACCAAGCCCCACCCCCAGGAGCAGGGAAGTTGGCTGGAGGGCCTCAGGCACAAGGGCGGCAAGTTTGAGACCAACCTAGGCAACCAACTGTCTCAAAATAAAAAACAAAATTGGGCTTGGGATGTAGCTTAGTGTGAAATAACTGGGTTCACTCTTTAATACCAAATAAAGAAAAAGTATTTCCATAAAGATGGAGGTGTTGGTATGTATCTTCCCTAAGTTGGCCTCCACTAATGAGAGCACACAGGATGACTTTTAGTTTCTGCTCTACTCCCAGAGAACAAATGGTCAGTGGGTCAGCAGCAGGGCTTCCAACAACTGCTAGCAACTGAAGTCTTGTGTGCCCCTTGGGTCCTTTGCTTACCGGGCTACAGTCACAGTTTTGGTTGTGACCATGGAGGACGAGAGCAGAAGCTGAATGTTTTCTCCAAATCAGCTTGTCAAATAAGTTATTGAGTCCAGGGATCAGCTTAAACTCTGCAATCATTCTATGAACCTGGATGGGGAGGGAAGAGAAAAGCATTAAGACAAATGTGCTTTGAAGACCCTGCAGTCTCCTGCTCCCCAAGGTCAATAATGAGCCTTAAGATAAAGAAAGTGGTAGTGAGTACAGCACGCTGAGGTTTAAGAAAACATCCCCACACACTCTGCCCACAAACACATCTTTTTAACTTCACTCATTACTGCTGACAAGAGTTCTACAAATCACACTGTGTGGAAAGACTTATCTTAAACGCGTAAGTTTTGCAATTCAGATAGTTCTGGGTTTACTCTTAGCTCCACCATGTGTGAGTTCTGGAACCTTTAGCAAATCCCTACTGTTTGTTTCCTTGTCGTGTCATTGAGATGGAAATGCATCTTATATCTAAGGATAAATTCGGATGGGTGTTACAAATATTAAAAAATGAAATTCTAATTATCCTAGAAAAATCTATGAAGACCTTTCAATAGTGACCTAAGAGTGGGAAAGGCTTGCTAAAGGGACTACACTACACTTGGAAGCCAAGAAAGAAGACTGTTGAGTTCAACCACACAAAGCTTTTAACATTGTGTGTGGTAAAACAAGCAAAGTCACAAGTTAAGCATGATAAATGGAGAAATAACTGGCAACTCAAAGCATGGGCAGGGCAACTGTTCTCTTTAAGGAGTCCTCAAAATTTCTAGAGAGAAAGACAATCCTCGCATGCATATCAGAAAAAAAAAAAGGACAGGCAGATAGAAGATTCTTTATTAAATATATGAAAAGACTCAGCCTCACTTACATGTTAGGAAAATACAAATCCTAACTTATTTTTCACTCTCAGATGGACAAAGAAAACAAGTTTTGTCCTGACTCCAACATCCATTTGATGACCTGGGCAGCAGGCACACTCCCCTGGTGGGCTGGCATACTGGCACTGCCCAGCCTAGGGAATGGCTGCTGTTATCTGCATACCACCATAGGGGTCAAACTTACAGCATTTGAGAACTGCTTTCAGTCTTGTGATTTCAATTTGGCAGAGATTGTTGCTTAGATAGCCCAACTGTACACTGACAAGAAGGCCACCCAGCCAAGGAAACCCTTCAGGCAGGATCTGTGAATAGACGTCCCATGGCGCCAGGCATAGAGGAGGACCTTGGTAAATGCTGTCTGTGCACTTTTCCTAAAGGCCATGATAACTCACAGCACCCTGGCAACAGGAAGGCTCAGGGACCAGGGACTGTTGTGAGGGGACAGCAGTGGCAGGGCAGCCACTACTCACATCCTGGCTCTCCCAATGCCTGGCTACTAGATCATGGCCCATTTCACTCTCTGCCTCTCTCAAGTAACTGTGCAGAGAGGGGTTGCCACCTGCTGTACAACTTGGCAAGTGTCTGAAAATTCAAATATAATTGAAAGTGCCTCAAGAAAAGCAGAAGCACTCAACCCCCACAGGAGGGCTATCACAAGTTTTTAAAGTAAGAAACATGCCCAATGCTGAAGGAAGATGGAGATGCAGGCAGATCTGCCTAGCGTCTGCCTTCACATGCTGACCGTAGGCTAAAGACTCCCAAAGTTGCTTGCTCCTCTAGACATGAGTGCTCCATAACTCCAACTGCGTGTTGTCCAACTACTGATTCTAAGGGACACCTCGCACCTACTTATTCAAAACCAAACTCCTTGTCTTCCTCCTAAAGCCTGTTCCTCTGCAGGACATCCACAGTTTAACCATCTTGGTAAACAGCAAATTCATCTCTCACTCACTTAGGCCAAAAGCCTCGGGGGTCACCTGAACAACTCCTTTCTCTTAGGTCACACTAAGCCATCAGCAGATCTTGTCTTCTCCATGTGCAGAATAAATCCCAAATGCAACTACCCCCCCAACACCCTCCTTCTGCTTGGTCACAGCCACAATCGCTTAGCTCGATCACAAGGGTCCCGAAGGGGTCTCCTGGGTCACGTCTCCTCGCTGTTTCTCCTGTCATACAACAGAGACAGCCAACTTGTCTCCTTATGCAGAGTAAAGGCTGGTTTTCAAATGGCCTATGACTGCCCAAGGCAAGCTGGCTGTGACCCCTCAGCACTTCCTCTGTTCTACCACCAGGCCAAGCACCCTCTCAGGGGTGTCACCTTGCTGGCCTCAGGCTCCCTCACTCTCCTCAAGCCACTATCATTCCAAATGATATCTCTTTCATGAGTCTTTCCTGGCTACCCTCTAAAATGGTGCCTTTTTTAACTTAAAAATTTTATTTATAATAGAATAAAATTTACCAATTTAACCGTTTTTGAGTGCAGTTCACTGTTGAATACATTCATTTAAATTTCTTTTATTTTTATTAGCACATGTTTGCAGTACAGAATGACTGTACTCATTGTGGAGCGCTGGGGCATATACCCCAGCTCTCAGCTGGAGTCTGACTCTGAGAGGTGCATGGGGGCTGCAGAGCTCCCAGCCTCACTGCCCGAAGTCTCTCCTGGCTCACACAATGACAATGCAGTAAGGACAGAGCTCCTGCCCACAGCCTTGAGGGGATGTACTGAGTCCTGTTTCTCTGACCATAGGTTAAGGGACCTTGCTCCTCCCTCCTGTTTTAAGGTTCAGGAAACCCCAGTACGTTTGGACCTCCTGTACTCGTGTGGGTTCCTAAGTGGTCCAGCTGTGGGCTCTCACCCACCACCTTGAGCCACATCATGTTGTCAACTCTCAGTGCATGGAGAGGGCATCTTTATTCCTCTAGTTACTGAAGCAGATGCTTTCCTGGCCTGCGCACCAATGCTGTCTAGAGATGCTGCCCATAGCAAATTTAGCAGAAAGACTCCAAGCTCTGAAATCAGCCTGGTTTCCTAAAAGAAGGAAAACAATCAACACAATTTCCTGGCTAGAGAGCTCTGCCCTGAGAAGAGCTATGGAAGACATGCTGATTCCCTGCAAGGAGGCAGCACTTGCTCCTGGAGCCCCAGTCTGAGAGGCTGGGAGGCAGCACCCACCTGGTTTCGTTGCCGGCCCATCAGCAGCACACAGAGGACATAGAGTACTTCCAGTTTGTACATGATCTCGTGCATAATCTTCATGGACTGGGGCAGCTGGGTCCTGGCGGAAGTGTGAGGCAACCCATTCTCCTCAGAAGTGCCTGGAGGAGGGAACACAGTGGAGGCTGACACAGCCCCGAGACAGGGGTGAGTCCCGGCCAGTGAGGAAACTGTCTGCTCTCAAACTGCTCTGAGTAGACTGGAGGTAACAGAGCTGTTAGATGAGGCCTGAGCCCATATCCAAGGAATGAAAGTCACAAAACTGCCTCACACACCCAGGAGCCAGGCCAGCTTGTTATATGGGAGATAGGGTGAGGCCAAACATCTGGGGATACAAGCAGGGCCTGGGATGACAAGATCCCAGAACAGTGTCAGGCCATTACTAGAAGCTTCTTGGGGGCTCTCAGGAGATAAAGAGACCCGACGCCACAGGCACCTTGATGCCACAGGTAGCCCACTGCTGGACTCCTCATCGCAGCCATTCTGCCTCTGCTGGACACACAGTGAGTTTTTATTTTTGCTTTTATCTTTTCCTCTCTTTGTTTGGCCCAAGTTTGCTCCACAGAGCTACTTCTTCTCTTACTCCTTCAGACCTCACTTTTCAAATAAACTATGGCACCATTTTTGGCTTATCTCATCCAAATCTTTGTTTGAGGCAAGAAGGACTTGATACTTTTATTGGCAAGACATTTCTTTCTTTTTTTTTTTTTTTTAATCAAAGTGGTAGGACAGTTTCAATAATTAACACACTGCATACATTCTTCCTAGCGGTTAATTGCTGTACAAGATGCGGACATGATATCCTATTTACAAACACCATTAGAACAAATCCCTCTATTCATTAAGAGAATGTAACTATATAT